AAGGAAATCTGAGGGTTACCCATAAGGCAGCATTGGCATCCCTACAGCTCTCTCTTCTCCCACAAAGGAAAGATTAAATCCTTACATCAGGAACTAACTTTGGGTGCAACACTAAGCGCTTTGGGTATTGTTGACAGGCGAAGACCTAAACCCATTGTTTGCTGACAGAACTTCCAATTATTTCATCTCATCAGCTTCATGGCTGGTTTCTTTGCTCTGATGAGGGATCTACCACTAATTTGCCATCCCACCAACTTTCATAGATTTCTAGAGTTGGAAGGGACCTGGTAGATCATTAGGTCTGACCCCTTGCTTCAGGCAGGAAAGAGCGCTGGGTTGAGGGCCTGAATGCAAGACCCTATGAAGACAGACTTTAATGCACTTGACCTTGTCTACAAGGGTTTCTCCCCCCTTTAGCGTCCTGTAAATTACTTCTGGAATTGCGACAAGATCACGTTCCAGGATGCTGGTGATTGTCACTACTTTATGTACCTGTTCCACAAGTAAGTAACCTAATGACGGAGGGCAGGAGGAACCTGATTTCTTGATCATTCTTATGCTGATGAAGCCAGCACCATTAAGACTGACTCACCTTCTCAGCTGTATCCACATTACTATAAAAGAAAATAGCCAAGCAAGTTGGAAACCCACTGTTCCTCCTACCTACAGGACTCAACTCTGACGAGCTCTGCTTCTTCCAAAACATCTAGTATTAAGATAGGGAGGTGGTGCATATGGTTCTGGTCTCATGTCTTCAGTTACAGAAAGGATCCATCAACACCTTCCTCCACTACTGCTTTTATGCAAGACTGAAATCAAAGAGGAAGCAGAACGAGTCATGCCCCCTGCCTGCTTTCACTCCGATATTACCTGTTTATGATGCCTGCGCTAGTAATAATAATGATAGTACTTTGCGCTTCCCTAGCAACTGTCTATCTGCAGAGCTCAAACTGCTCAAAAACCTTTAATTAAAGTCTCTTGATGGTAGGCCAGCATTACATGTTTTTTCCCTGCAGCTCCAAGTATGACGTTCAGCCTCCAAGGAAAGGTTGTTGTAGGTAAAACACAGGAAAGATGAGACCTAACCTGAGCCCACTCCTAGTTGTGATTTAGCCCTTTGGTTCTCTGTCAAGTTCTGCTGCTGACTCCACTTAACTTCTCTGCACGCAGTATTGTGGTGGTATTGTCCAGCAACCCCTTACCACTATTTCAGTGTACTCCTTATAATAATTATCCTTTTATCAGAACCTTTCCCTACATGCTGGACTCTTAACCAACCCTTTATGTTCAACAAGGAAAAGTACCTGCAGCCTGAAAGAGCCTGTTTTATAGCTGGCTCCAGCCCACTGCTTCCCCTTCCCTTCCAGGTGGCAAACCTTCCTCTTTCCCTGTCAAGGGCCCAGCTTCATAATCAGCTTAACTTGTCCCACCTGTGAGAGGAGCCCGGCACTAAGCTGCCTTTTGAAGGAAAAGGGATTGCATAAGTTAGTAATTTGATGGTTTTTAAATGGATGGGAGCTCTAGAACTGAAAGATGCTCTGGAAGTGGGGGCATGTGTAAAAGAGAAATGGAGGGTTAGTGTGCTTGCTGGTCATCTGTATTTCCCTATCAGCTTTGTCATCTTTTTTTTGGATTCCCAATCCTAAACATTTACTAATAAAAGTCAATCTTTTCTTCTTTGGCATTGACTAGTGGAGAGTTGTGGAGGGTACTACCTGCTTTGCCATGTTTTTCAGGTCTTGTTGTGGAGAAGCATCTCTGTAGGAAAACTGGTACCCTGCACCCCCTCAGCCAAACAGTGCTCCTGGAAGAGAATATTTTCCCAGTGTAGAGGAAAGCTCTGACTCTGTGGCTTGTCCTATACCTGAGTCTCTAAGTTGTGGGATGCCTGCTCTGGGGAGGCCAGCAGGCTAAGCCTTTCTTTCTTTCTGGTTTCTAGCTGGAAGTTTCCCTGGCTTCCCTTGCTTTAATGTATCAGGCTGGATTTCTCTGGAGCTTACTCTTGAGCTTCCCTTGCTTTATTGTACCAGGCTGGATTTCTCTTGAGCTTACTGTCCAAACGTGGTAAACTGAGCAAAAGGGCAGAGAGAAGTGGCTCTCTTGACTTAGTGGTGAAACTCTAGGAGAATGCACATGTTCCCTGGCAAATGGAAGGTGTTGGTAATTGTGAAACCCTGTTGACTCAGACATCTCTGACCTGGAGGATGCTCCCATATAAACATCCGCCCTGAGAGACACCTCCCTGCTCTACTCTTGCCTTTATCTGGGACTTCTATTTAATCTGTTCCAACTACTCCCATCTGGAGTGCAAGCTAGACACTTCTGCTGCAAGAAGGAAGTAGGTGTCCAAATAGTGCAGGTAAAATCCCTCTATTTTTTTTTTCCCTGCAAAAGGGGGCTCTTGAATGATGTGGGTGAACCTGGCTGCCTCATTTTGCTAAGACCTGGGCTCATGAATGATAGGGAAGGGCTCTCTAGGAGGAAGTGGACATGAGGTTCATTGCTGTTGGAGAGCAGTGGACTTGAGTCTTCTCTCCCTGTTTGGGTTAAGCCTCTCCCCATGGTAGACTTTTGAAGGCTTCCCGGGCACTGAAGGACCTTCTTCAGAGAACAGAGGTGAGACAACTTCAGGCCCTGCTCAGTGCCCTACCTTCATAATGGATCCCCTACTGTGCCCTCCAGCCTAGCTGTCTAGATAAATCAGAAAGCAGCCTGATGGCTAAGAAGCAGACGCTTTCTCCTGGGTGATTAGTAGTAAGCAGTCAGCTGAGATCTGTTTTCCATTTTCCCTTGCTTTATTTTTTTATGTCGAGCAATTATCTGGAGGCAAATGGATTTTTCTTAATGTACATGCACCAGTCACCATGGCAGCTCTCAGTAAAAGTGACTAATGCAAGGACTGTGTTTGGTCACCTAAAAACAGAGATTGTTGCTTTTCCCTGGCTGGCTGATGAGACTCTTTCTAAGATGGAGGCAGGAGCTTGTAATGTGAAGTGTGAATGACCACAAGAATAGCACTAGTTGAAGGAACAGCAGTAAAGTCTCTGTATGGGGAGAAAAAGACTTGCATCTCCAGAGACTGTCCCTGTTTTGGGAGGAGGCCAAAGAGATTAACCAGCAGAGGGTCAGGCTGGTGGCACTCAAAATGTTGAGCTGGAGTAGGAGAGAGAGAGCCTAGCCTCAGTTTAGTTTTTAAGAGCAATAAATACTGGCATCGGTAGACACAAAAGCAATGCAGTGCCAGGGCTGTACTAGAGAGCAAGCATCAGGCTATGCCTCCTTGCTGGCTTGGAAAAATCAAAGCACAGCTGAGTTGATGGGAAAGAAGATCTGTAAAAGAGCAGAGATAAGAGCTGAATGGCTGAAAACCAGAACACAGCAGTCAATGAAACGCTCTTAAGGAGATAAGATTATTAGGCCAAAGCACTGCAGCCTGGCAGCAGCAGAGAGAAAGGCATCTCTGGTAATAGCTTCTGACTGTAACCATATTTTCAGTCTACTAAAATAAGAACTAGCTCGCTGCATAGTTAAATCTGAAGACTTTGCAACTGATGGCTTGTTTTTGGATTTCAGAGGGCTTAGAATTTACTTCATCACTTTTCCTATGGATTTCTCAGCTGGTAATGCAGCGGTGGTTATAGTTTCTGTGGGCTGGTAAATAGATGTTGAGTATATTTGGTCTTGTTTGCTCCGTTTTGAATCATTTAGAAAGCAGCACTACAAATGTATGTGACTGGGTTGCTGGTTTGAAGTGTATTTAACCTCCTTTGCCTCAAATGCATTGAAATGATTTGTCAGATTGTGACTTCAGATTCCACAGGAGGTTACTTTACTCGCAAAGCCCAGAAACAGGCCAGCTATACTACAGAACAAACCAAATGTGGCCCCAGAGATGAAGAGATTAAAATATAATTTGTAGTATTCATATTTCTCCCTAAAAGATTATCTTGGTTTATGTCTCTAATCTCACATGGAGCACGTTTAGCCTCTTCCTTCGTTCATAACTATTAACTAGCTCCCTTGCCTTCTGTACACATAGGCTTGACTCTCTTACTGTATCAGTGGTACAGGATTATCTGGAACTTGTATCCCAAGCAAAGGGGGATGGAGGCAACTTTGGGTTAGGAACACTTGCCCTAGAAGATGCCTCAAAGGCAACGAGCTTAAAAGCATTGGGCTGATCATCAAAGGAAGCTCTGTCTTAGAGGTCAGGAGGCTTAGGGATAAAGTGAAAATTGCCTGAAGCTGATCTGAACCAGGCCTTAAAAAATCTCATACCTAAGCCAGAAGCAGAACTTTGTGCAGGAGCTCAACCTACGGCGGGAAGAGACCAGAGACCTGCATCCCGGCGGGCTGAGAGCTGGTGCACGGCATCGCAGGTTCTCTTCACGAATAAACCCACATAGTCAGAGTGGTATCCTGTGACTGGATGATGTTGAACAGAGAAACTCTTTCTATATAAGAAAGGGATGGGGGGGAAGGGGAAGGATGATCTTAATAGCACATACAACTTGAATTACTCTTTGACTCTTTGCGAGGGTCCTCCAAAAAAAATGAAACCGGTTCATTGATTAACAAGTCCACCTATGTGAAGGAGCAATCCAGTTGGAGACACTACCCCCACAGGTTATGACTTTAAAATCTTACCGGGGGACAGTCTTGTCCCTTATGGGGGGCTCAGCCCCCCCCAAGCTCCCTCTTAATTTGCACCCTGAACTTGGGTAATACTTTTCCTCATTCGCATCCTTGTCTTCAGAAGAAAAGAATGCACAAAGGCTTAACAAAGAAACCATAGTAGCCTATTATTTATCTTGGATTACTTTGTCTGGAAAATCCTCTCTTATATGGACTTGAATAAAATCTCTGCAACCCCATTGCATGGGAAATTATTGAGTGGAGATGCAGGTATTTAGATGGATGAAGAATTGACTAAGGGGTGGGGGATGACGGCAATAGATGATGATGAAAAGGGAAACATCAAGCACGAGGGAGTTTACCCGTGAAGCTCCTTGTATTGAAGATGGAGCTGATTGTGTGCATGCATGTCTGTGGATGCTATTGAAGGATTTTTTTTTTTAAATTGATGATCTTGGCATAAAAAGAAAGTACAAGCTATTGGTGTCAATGCAAAGGAGGACTGAAACATCCTACAGGAGGAAATGGATGCTCTTAATAACCAGTGGGTCCTACTGAATTTCATGTCATTACTAATAAAGTACAAGGTCACACATTTAGAGGCTGTTTTGTTCTCTGCTGATAGTAGAAATTATTAGTGGCTCTAAAATGGCTATGAATAAAGGTAGGCTGGGAACTAGAAAAGGGTTTCTAACCACGAGAACAATCGGGCTCTGGAACAGTTTTCCAACAGCAGCAGGGTCGAAAAACCTAACTACGGTTCTGATGAAGCTTGGCCGGGTCCATGCCATTGTCTGTGCATCTTCAGTTTTCTCCCTTCCCTCCCAGTCCATGGTCTAAATATCTGTCTAATTTGAACTGGGAGCTCTTTGAGACAAAGGCATTGTCTTCCTGTTTGTCTGCTGAGCCTTCCTCCCACTCAGGACTATCTATAGAATATCTAGTGCATGAAGTGTTTTAATAATTAGCCTCCAGTGTTGCTCATATCCTCCACATGTGAGATTTCAAATCCCTTCTGGGTGAATAGCTTAATGTTTCCTCTGTTATACCACACCCACCTATTTGAAATCTCATTTGCCAGGTTGGCTGCCTATTCAATCTTTAAGTCCTTTCAGATGCTTTACAGTCCTTGGCCAACTTAATACTTAATCGGGGTTCTTCTGTTACTTCCTGATACACAGCATGTGCCAGGACACCGGTAAATAAATCTACAAGGTCAGCGTCTCGGATGGAATAAATTACCATAGCTCCATTTTAAGTCAGTGGAGCTGTGGTGATTTACACAAGTGAGACCAGAGAATACAATTAATGTCCTCTCCTGCCAGTAATGGAGCTAACCTCTTTCCATGATGAGGTATTCCTATATCATGCCAATGCAGACTTTTATTAGGAGTACTGTTAGAGTGATGTTGTAGCTGTGATGGCCCAGGGATTATGCAAGAGGCAAGGATTTCTTAAGGTGATATCTTTTATTGGACCGACTGCATCGTTGGGACGGTTGGACAAGCTTTTGAATGCTGGACATTCTTCATCGGGAGTGAATTTTAAAGCAAGAGCATAACTTGCTGGATGTAGTTTTGTTCTTGCTTTGGAAACTTGGGCCCTAGAAGTACAAAGGATGATGGTTTTGAACTTTTACAAATGTAAGTAGAAAGGTATAAGATCACTCGTATGAACCAGCTCTGCTTGAATAAAAAGAAGCCAGAACCATTCCTTTCTTTAGGTTTTGGAAAATCCCACCCTGATTGCCAAGGCTTTGTGAAGCCACCCTATTCTGCCATTTCTAGCTTACAGAGCTTCTCCATACCACACTCTACCCTAATTTTGACATGCCTGTTTAGTTACTTCCTAGCGTAGGAGGACTTGGAAAACATGCTCCAGTTGTTGATCCAGGTGCTGATGTAGAGCACACGCCAGGCATTCGGAGGATACAGTCACTGACCTAAAAAAATCACCGTATCAATGGGATGACAATGTGCTATCATTTAAAATACCGTTTGGGGAAAGTATTTTTGCCCTTTTATAAATGGAAGGTATTAAGGTAGGATCTGAAGGAAGGAAGGTTTGTGAGTGACAGAAGAGGAGGTATTTTCCCAGTGTGGTGATGATAAGGAAGAATGCATAAAGGTGAATGGAAGCAGGTAAAAGGGCAGATGGGGAGGTTTCGTGTAGGAAAACAGCTGCTAGGAGGGGATGAAGCCACAGCATACAATTATAATAAGCACTTGAGTACCTACTGTCCTCTTCTGCATCCTTTGTTCTCAAGTCATCAACATCTGAAGCTACCGTGTCTGTTAATTCTTCAAACTGCATTTCCCAGGCTGTGGCCAAAAGTGCTTGTTGTAGCTCAGTCTCTTTAGTGGTGATAGCTCCATAAATGTGCCCGGTATCTTCTTTGTGTGCTCTGTGATCTCTGCACCTAAGGCAGTAGGCAAAGGTTGGCTGGTTCCCTCTGCTGTGCGGGAGCCCCATTTGCTTATCTAGCTTACTCAGCATCCAAGTTTTAGTGAAGTTGTCTGTGTCTATTAAAGAACGAGAATTAATGCTGACTGGCTGGGGTCACACCCTATTAAATTCTCTTCAGAGGAGATAACTGTATTCCTAGAAAGCTTTTTTTTTTTTCTCTCTTTACTGCAGTAATTTTGTTACCTTCCTACTAAAGAAGATGGCAACCAGATTTTTTTCTAAAAGACCTCGCCAAATTGTTCTACCACTTAACATCCCTGTCGGATCTAAGCCAGTTACTGGACAACTCTTCTCCCTCCCCACCCACCCCCAGTAGTGTCATGGGTGATTACAAAGGCAAGGGATATAAAAAACGTGATACTGCCAATAAGTCTGTGCTTTAGGAGTCCACAGGAGCTGCATGTCTTCATGCAACTGATGGCAAGCTCCATATAAAGATACAAAGCTCTCTAGTATGAATCTGCAAAAAGACTTTGACCATTTGTTTTTTGTCTTTTCAGACCCAGTAAGTTGGTTCAACAATGTCCAGCTTCATAGGCGATGCCCTCCGAGGCAGCTGCTTCTTTCTCTTTGGATTCTGGTGGTCCGTGAAATATCCCCTGATGTATCTGAACAGGAAGCTGAACGTGGAGGGTCAGAGGAACCTCTGTTTCCAGCGTTTAGATGTCTTTGAAGGGACAGTCAAAGCTTTCTTTGCTCTCGCAGGTAAGGACTGTTTGTTATTGCTGCTTTCTCCAGTCACCCAATGGCCAAAAACGATTACCAGGATTGTGCCACAACTATTATCTCATTAGAGACTCCTCAGTGGCTTCGCTTTAGCATTTATACAGCAGGCTAAACTTCCTCAAGCAACTGGACATATCCTATGTCTTGCAAGCATGTTCTAGCAGATAAAAACTTAGTGCTGTATTGAGTCAGACCAGTGCATCACAGGAGAGGTCCTGCAGATGCTGCAAAAACCTCCATTTGGTTTCTTCACGTCTCCAATTCTGCTTTCATATCTGTTCCTCCCTATCCTCCTTTAGGAGTAAAGTGTGTGATCTCTTTGTGTTTCTTTCTCTAGGGATCCTGGCTGAACAATTTGTCCGAGATGGTCCCCACTTGTCTCTGTACAGTGCGGAGGATCACAGCTGGGTGAAGCTTGGAAACTGGCAGTACACCACCATGTACTTCTTCTTTGGCCTCTCGGGCATCGTGGAGGTTCTTTCCTACCGACTCAAACTGCCCCTTGGGCTGGATCGTCTCTTGCTGTCTGTGGCTCTCTTTATTGAAGGTGAGTAAAAAAAGGAATGACCGTGGCTAAAGCATAGAGGTCAAAGCTGTTGGAGACCGCGTACTCTGGAAGAACGCAGCTGGACGTCTCGCAAGCAGCTCAAGTGGTTGGGTTACTTGCTGACTGGATGCTAAACAGCACGGGGGGCTTGTTCGAGAGCAGCAGTTGCAGAAGTTGAGCAGCCTGGAGTCCAGGTTTGGTGGATGACCCCAATCCAAAATCTCAAAGCAGAATTCTGTGATGGCCGGACCCAGGCTCTTGAGGGAAAAATCTCAGTGACGCTCTCGATTTAAATATAGCTCAAAGGCTGACCTCCTGGGAAAACCCAGCAAGCTCTGGGAGGCGTTGTGTTTGTTCTAATTGGCCATACAATGTCTTTAAGACGGAAATATCTATTTCCCTTGACTAGCTGCTGGTCGACCCTGCACAGAACAGCAGATATGGTCCGTCCTATTCTGTTAAGCAAAGCCAGGCTCCTTTGTGAATCTTTTATCCCAATAAGACCTCACACCAAACCATCTCGGATGCTCTGTTGGCAGGTTTCCTCTTCTGTTCTCATAACTACGACGTTGCTCTGGATCAGCACCTCCACGCCCTGCTGCTTATTGCTATATTTGGTGGAACCCTCTGTGCCTTGCTGGAAGTGTGCCTGCGGGATCACGCCGTCCTGGAAATCATCCGGACCAGCCTCTTCATCCTCCAAGGAACTTGGTTCTGGCAGGTTAGTTCTTATCCAGCACTTTGAGCTGAGTGATAGCTGGGGTAAGGGCATGGAAAGGAGGAAACTGTCACTGCTTTGGCATGGTGTAGGACCGTTCCCCCAACGCCCTTCCAACCAATGATGACCAACAGGCCCCACGGGGCAAGGTGGTAGGACCCAAAGACAGAGCAGACAATCTCTGCTTCATCCTCCCAGGTTATTTGGCAAGCACACATGGACCGAGCTTGGTCAAAAGGATAGTCTAATTATATGCTGCTCTGCAGCTGCAGTACTCTCCCATGAGAAACAGGCCTGGAAAGATGAATATTATTGGGCCTGTAAAGACATCGCTATCAAGGAATTGAACTGAATTTTTTAGACTGGCCTGAATTTTTAACAACACTTGGTGCCGCAGCTGCTATATGGGATGTGTACAGTATTGATAGCACCAGGCCTTAATCATGAGCCAGACAGCCAAAATCAGATTTATTTATTTTTTTTAAGTGGATCTTCCATTTTTATAAAGCCTTTAAAGATTGCCCTTTTAATGTTTTCCATAACTGTAAAACTTGCTGGCTTTGAGCAGACTGGCTTTCACTTAGTCACCTGACTGCAGGGGCTGTCACCAGCAGCCAGACCCTGACAGCCTTTTTAGGGTATCTGAACAGAGTTAAGTTATAGCCTCGTGTGGAGGCTTCTGGCCTCTGCTGCCAGGACTGGCTTGGTTTAGCTCCGGAGAGTTGTGGCAATAGGGACTCCTAGGGGACCCTTTGGCCTGCCCAGTGGCTAGCTTCAAAAGGAGGGGGTAGGCACCCAGCCTTCCCTATTGCTCACTAACCAGGCGGCTTTCCTGAGATGGGGGAGATCCCATTACGACAAGACAGGCCTAGAACCCAGTCCGCCCGGTCTGAGAACAAGTGTTTGTGCTGCTGGGCTATTGATTATCCCCTCTTCTTCTCTGGCTCTCGTTCAGTACTGAAACCAATGCTGCTGTCACGTTCTGGTGGAGGTTGGTGTCTTCTTTCCAGTTTGGTTCCCAACATGAAGGAAGCATCTCTCTCAAGCTCTGAGGGTGAATAGGCGTTACGATGGCCCTGCCTGTTGGCTACTTGTAGGGGCCTCACTGATGAACAAACAGGCAGCTTGGATCGCTCTTCAGAGGCACTGTGGGAAAATGCAGGTTCCTCACTCTGCACCTCCAGATTATGCCAGGGGTCTGGTTCCTTCCCTGGCACTGTCACGTAGGGCTGCCCCCTCTGACACTACCGCAGTTTTGCTGCCTGCCAAGTAGGAGTTGCCCATTCCTGCTTCTGACATCATGTTGTGATGCCTGATGTATGTTAGGAGCCACATGTGGGATCCATGTTTCCTGTCCTTGAAGTCCAGTAGCTCTGAACTACCTTTATTCTAGAAACCTACCTAATCTCCTTGTGTGGCCAAATGTCACTGGTGCCATGACTTAGAGGCTGGGAGGTGAGAGCAGAAGGAAGACAGTAAGTGGTAGCCTGAACAGGTTTGGAGGGGTAGACCTCACATCCTACTATTAAGAATCCAGAAGGCAGGCATATTACATTCTTGGCACTCTGAGTTACAGCCCAGCATAGGAAATAGAGCCAAGCCAAGGGGAAATACAAGAGCAGCGGTCTGACAGTGAGGCCAGTGCATTTTGCCTGTTGTCAGTGAATGTCTTGCCCCTTTCTCACAGTAGGACTACTGTAGTAAGTGAGGCGGGCAAGCGTGGAGAAAGGTGATAGAAAGCGTGCAAGGTGATAGAAAGCTGAATATCATCTCTCTTATTCCATCAGATTGGATTTGTGCTGCATCCACCATGGGGAGGGCCAGGCTGGGACCAGACCGACCGTGGAGTCTTTGCATTCCTCAACGTGTGCTTCTGCTGGCATTATGCAGCCGCTCTCCTCGTCGTGGCTGCCAACTTTGCTGCTTCTCACTGGTAAGTGACTACGTGTTGGGAGATCAGGATAGGAGCACCATTTCTCTCTGGGGTTGGTTGTTAGCCATGATTTCTCAGTAGCGGATGAGTTATTTAAACTTGGTGATATGCTGAGAAACTTGTCCGTGTTTTTTATGTGCACATAATTCTGATTTGTTGCACACTGATCTCAAGTGTACGATAGAAATGGAATAAATAAGCAACCCTACTACTACTGCGTTGCCAGCCATGAGTGTCATGATTGGACCTCCTAGTCTAATGAAACTTGCCAGTTTGGCATAACTGAATAAATTAAATGTTAATGGAGGGTGGGGACAGAGAAGATGTTGAAGGGATCTGCTCTTGCATAGTAGTGCAAAGTGGTATTTATGTGACAGCTTGGAAATCCTCCCATGTGTATCTGAATCCATGAAAAGTCACTTCTCTGTCTCTCTCTCAAATACAGCTACAACCAAGCATGTCAGTTAAAGCTTGAAGGCATTGATGTTGAACTTGACATTGGGTGCTGTCTACGAAAATGCAACAGACGCTCTGATCCCGTTCTCCTACCAGAGAATGGGTCGGATGAAAAGTGACTACTTGGCTGACTTTTATTTCTCTGCTTTTCTGCTGATGATGCTTGTGTCAAAGTTCTTAAGATGAAGAGATTTTATCTGCCATTTTAAATAAAGTTGTGGCTTTCTATGGGCATCTCAAAAGTAGGAGGACAGCACCCAGTGTACTTTGGTACAACTTCTCTGCTGTCTCCCTTCTAGATCTGAAAAGTGTGGCAGAGGTGTGTCCTATTTTTGCATTTAAAACAAAATGCTCCATCTTGGGTGTTGAAGTTTTTCTTCTTTAAAGACATCCTTATTACATGTGGGCATGAGGCAACTGTGTGCTGGCCAAGCAGGTTCCAAATTGACCCATAAAGCTGCAAGTCCTAGACTGGTGTTTGGTTTTTTGGGGTTTTTTTCCACGAACTAGTCCTGATATAAACTTAAGAAAAGTCCATGCGTTGCACTTGAGGGGGGTTGTCACTCGCTTTGGTTGATTTACAGTGTGTATTTTTTGTATGCAACTTATTATGCTGTAGCTCCCAATAAAATAATTTTAAGAGTATGTAAGCACAGTTCTAGAGCTAATGGATCAAAAAGGGACAAATAATAATCTTTTAACCCAAAACGGTTCTGAAATGGAGGATTGCCCACTAACTTTTATGGGGACTTCCTACTCATTTCCTAACAGAAGACTCATTCATAACGGAAGCAATGGCTCTGCTGGTAAATAGCTAAAATGAGCCCTACAGGCAAAAGTCTACCTTAATCTACCCAGGCCGAGCACATCTGGTTCTTTGTCTCTATGATTCATTACTTTTCCAAATGCAAACAGCAAAAACAGAACAGAACTGCTCTGGGGCCCAGCATCTCCCTTTCTGCTACCAGTCTTAGCCACCAGTCTTCTGGTGGGGGTGGCTCAAGTCAGTTTGCTCCATATGCTTCCTTCCTGCCTTACTTTATTTGGCGTTTTAAAACCATAAGGAGTAGGGTGGTGATTTGGCTGCCGCCAGATCTCTGAATCAGATTCGGTCAAAGTGAATCGGGACAGTGATTCGAATCACCAAATCGAATTGGTGTCCCCCAAATCAGCTGAATCCGAAGAGAATACTGGCCACTTTGCACAGGCCTATTAAGGACATCCTCATGGCTGAATTTCCAGGTTAATATTACCACCCCCCTCTCTGTGGCTTTTAACATGCTCGCCCAGAGTACAGCTGATCTTTCCACAGGATGTAACACTGCTCAAACTCGTTGTTAGCAAGACTTACCCCTAGAGCTGAGAAAAGAGGGGCTCTCCAATAGTAGGTAGGTGCGTACTCTACCCCTTCCAAAGAAGGTTTCTTCCACCCACAGCAACTGGTCAGTGATGAGAAACTTAGGGGTTCCTCAGGAGAAACTTAGGGGAGAAATAATTGGCAAACCTAGTCAATACCTATTGAGCTACTTACAGTTAAAAAAATATCCCACCACCAGCAGTCTAGCTCACCCCGAGCTTCCCCTCTAACCCACCGTTTCCCTAAACTGCCTTCAAAACACCCCTAATCCAAGCGAGACGGAAGCACAAGAGTCTGCCAGTACTTCATGAGTGCCTCACTTCCATTCTCCACTGCCCTGGACTAGAGCCGGCGCAGAAGGTGATGCACATAGGGAAGGGTGGCTCAATTAGCTTGGAGCTGTTGACACTTAGAGTTACTCCAAAGGGAAGAATGGACAACTTCAAATGGTCACGTAACAACTTTGTCTCAAAGCATTAAAAACAAGCCTTCCACTTACTTCCTCTTGGCTAGGAAATGTCATTCTGTCCTTCCAGTGAAGGACTTAGCCTCATAAACAATTGATGTAGCTGTGCCATCGAGCCTGAATGCAATTTATTTGTATCAGAATCTGCCTTTCTTCTCCCCGGCAGGATGGGATGCTAAGGCTGTCACAACTGTACTCTGCCACTAGTTCTTGGAGAGCTTGGGTATCCCCTCAAGTGTTGGTCCAGATGCTTGAAGTGATTGATGAATTAGGTGCAACTTACCTAAGAGCACACATCTCAGTCCACAACCCATGAGGTAGCTAAACCTCTCTGTGGCAATGCAGTTTGCAAAGTCCAAAATGAACTGCAATGGATCAGACCAGATAGAGGGAAGAGGAGAAGGAAAAAAAAGTCGGACAGTTACTCGGGAAAGAATCATACGTACTGGGCCATGGTACGTTTTCTTTTGATAAATCTTTTTCCTACAACGATACCTAAAACAACTATCCTTGCCCCACTGGCATTAAATGTGAGCCTTAATGATCTCAGGGCTTTGTTACACAATAATTTTAGGCAACTCCTGGACCTCTGAACCCCGGGATTGTCCACACATTAACACCTGATGCTAGTTTTAAGCACACTTTAGGTAACTTAAATTTATGCCACTCCCAGGCAGGTTTATCTCTGATCCATGTTATGCAGCTCATGTTCCATTAATATGCAGCCACTCCCCACAGATGAACCTCCCAAGCTGCAGTCCTCTAGCATCCCAAGATGCAGTGTCTCCTCCCCCATCTTCCTGTTCAGCGTGGACAAACTTTCCACCCCCGGACTCTACTGTCCTGGGAGCAGGCCTTGCACCATGCCAGCTCCCCCACCCCTGCCCCTGGGGGTGTGACTTTTCCACCCCCGGAGTGTAACCCCATGCTAACACCCTGCAAGGCACATGCCAGCTAGCCAGGTCACAGAGCACGGATGGGTCCAGGATTGGGGCCTCGGGAGCTGGGGGAGGGAAGTGAGGAAGTGGGCTGCATTGGGTCGCCACAAGCTGGGGCTTCCTTCCTGGGGCAGAGGCAGTAACTGCCCCAAAACTGCTCCCACCTCTCAGCCACCTCAGGAAGCACAACCAGCACCCCCCACACCCCATCCCAATTTATTAAAATACGAGCCCTTCTTTACTTTACTTCCCAAAGTCTTTTTTTTTTTTTTCCACTTCTTTTATTTTATTCTTCAGTGGCTGACTTTCTTCATTTCACCACTCTTCCCCCACCACCATTTCCTATTCCCATCCCACACTCCACCTCCCAGCTGCATGCTCCTGCCCCCCAACCCATCTCTCACAGCCACCCCTACAAAGGAGACAGAAAGAAGCCTGTCCTGGCTTGCCAGCCCTCTAGTGGCAACTCACAGCTGTGCAGATGGGAGACAGTCCAAGAAGGTTTTTAGCTTTAAAGTGCGACTGCTCCAACCTCAAGCTAGCAATAGCATTGACCAACATCTGAGCAGCTCGACGTGCAACAGGGAACAAGGCCTGAAGA